GCTCTTAGCTTTGTCTCATGTTTGCAAAATGGCAGTCACAGTTCCAGCAATCAAAGGTAGAAGGCAGGTGTAACCAGTGCAGTCAGAGAATAATCTTCCCAAACTCCCTCTTTTCTTACTAAATTCACTTCCATCAAGTCAATTCAACTCATAGCAACCCTTCCTTGGGTTTCTGAGGTGGTATCACGACAGAAGTAGATTGCCCAACCTTCCTTCTGAGGAGTGGCTGGTGGGTTTGCACCTCCAGCCATCTGGGTAGCAGTCAAATGCCTTAGGCACTACACCTCAAGAGCTCCCTCTCTCTTTACTAGGGGAAAAATAATCTTTACCAGAAACAGACTTTCTTTTGCATCTAATTGGCCAGTATTTGGTTACATGCACATTCATAAAACAATCAGTAGGAAAGCAACAGGATTCCATGCTTGGTTTATGTAGTTGTTCTTATGTGCTGTGAAGTGGTCTCTGACTCATAGCGACCACTCCTTGGGTTTCTGAGGCAGTATTACTACGGAAGTAGATCACCCAATATTCCTTTGGAAGAGTGGTTGGTGGGTTTGAACCGCCAACCTTCTGGTTCGCAGTCAAGCACCTTAGGCACTATGCCACCAGAGCTCCCTTGGTTTATACAAATTATGATTTATCCTCTGGGACTAGTACAATGTTATCTGAATAAAATCTATGGAAGAAGAAGATAATAGCTTTTGGGTTGGCAACTAATGGTATATGCCACAATGACAAAAACTTTCTATGGATAATATAGTTTCCACCATAATGTCATAGTCTGGCTGCTAAGAAGGGATGGCTAAAAGTCTTATTTACAAGCTAAAGTAGTACCACCATATGGAAAAACCTGAACATGGTTTATAAATCCTACCATTTACAAATTCTTAATGTTTCAATGTTTTTATAAATATTTTCAATTGAGGTTGCATTGCTTTAAAATTTTGCACATAAGTTAAAGAGAATTTTTTATATTTCAGATCATATTATTTTTATTATGTAGGTTCAAGTTCTCAATGTATGTGACCACACTTTACTTGATGGGTGATTAAATAAATGTTTTTCCTTTTTGAGTATACTTTCCTTCACGAATTACTTCAAGTTATATAGATATATTTTTATTCTTTATTTGATGGTTTGCTTGTTTATCTGATTTGCACACAACTATGTACATTAGATCTTTTCCTCCTTATTTAATGATGTCAAGCACTGTATATCAGAATAGTATTATGTTTTTTTCTTTTCTCTAAGATTTTTTGGGTGGAACAACTTCCTAAAATGAAACTTGTTATATCCTTGGAATTCTAGAAATGGTGGTCCTTTGGAGGCATTTGTTAATGAAAAATTATTTGAGAATCATCAAAAGTAGAGTTTCCTGAGCATTAATCTTTCTGCCCAGTCTTTCAAAAAAGAACAATAAGAAAATGTGGGTTTTTTTTTGGGGGGGGGGGTAAATTTCAAAACTTTCTGTGTGGGGTGATTTTTAGGGCTCATTCATAAAAGTTTGAGAATAGCAGAGGGAGTGAGTAGTTGAACCTGTGGGCTCAAGACCATAGTCACAGGGGACATTAAGCTCAATTGGCATAACATACTACACAAAACGTTGTTCCACCTCCTACTTTGGTGAATAGTGACTGGGATCTTAAAAACTAGCAAGCAGCCATCTAGATGCAATGATGGGTCTCTCCTAATCCAGAGCAAAGAAGAAAGAAGAAAACCAAAGATTTATGGAAACGATTAGTCCAAGTGACTGGTGCATCACACGATCCTCAGCCTATACAACTATGAGACCAGAAGAACTAGATGGTGCCCAGCTACCGTTGTCAACCACTTGGAGGGGGATCTATGTAGGAGATTCTGGATAGAGAGGGAGAACAATGTGGAACAAAACTCAAAATCATTTGGAAATTAAAAAAAAGGGGGCAGGTTTGCTGGTCTGATAGAGCCTAGTGAAACTACTGAGACTATGGTCCCTAGCTACCCTTCAGGTCTGGAATTGAACCCAAACTGTGGCTTCAGCCAAACAAAAGACAGGCTTATGAGGTGAACATGTACCTGAGGTAGATACACTCCTTGTAGAGAACAATCATGGGAGAAGGAAGGGCTGCTTATGCACAGGGAGACAGCTCAGGGGGTGGGAGTGTGTGGAGGGATGGACATGGGGAAGAGGTAACTATTGGGAGAACATGGGAGGGGAGCTGTTGCATTGGGGTAAATTGTAGTCAATGTCATGAGACAACGTGTGTGTGAACTGCTGTATGGAAAGTGAATTTGCTCTGGAAACTTTCACCCAAATCACAATTAAAAAAAAAAAAAGTTTGGGAACAGATGTCGGAGAATGTTGTCCCGCTCTGGAATACAGAGACACAAGCATCTGAGGATATTGGGATGACTGTGGATAGGTGACAGACCTGCAGGGGAAGGAGGAGCCAGTGAGGCTGTGGATTAGAGGAAGATCAAGACACTTCCTCAGGGATAAAAGCAAAAAAAAAACTTGTTGCCATTGAGCTGATTCTGACTCATGATGACCTCACATGTTTCATAGGAGAACTGCACTACATGGGACTTTCGAGGCTGTGACCTTTTGGAAACAGATTGCCAGGCCTGTCTTCTAAAGCACCTCTGGGTAGGTTTGAACTGTTAACCTTTCAGTTAGTAGTCAAATGCTTAACTGTTTGTGTCGCTGAAAGACTCCTCAGTGATAGGGTGGCTGAAAAGGAACTCTGGGGAACTCAATTAACTCACTGCCATTGAGTCGACTCCAACTCATAGGGACTCCCCTCGGGTTTCCGAGGCGGTAAATCTTTACAGAAGTGGATTGCCCAGTCTTCCTTCCATGGAGTGGCTGGTGGGTTTGAACGCCAGCCTTCTGGTTAGCAGTCAAATGCCTTAGGCAGTATGTCACTCTGGGGAACAAGAATGTCTAAATGAATTACCAAATTATTCAATGTGGAGTGTGCAATACAAACTCCTCTTTCTCTATTTTCTCTACCAAATCTTCAGCAAACTTTACATCACTCATTAATGCTTCTTTGTGAGGAGATTTTATTTTGGTAATGATTGTCTTAGTTTCCGAGTGCTGCTGTAACATGAATACTTCAAATGAGTGGCTTTAAAGGACAGGAATTTATTTTCTTACAGTTGTAGACTAAAAGTCCAAATCAGAATCTTGGCTGTGTTGATTCCTTCTGTGAGACTTTCTTCTAGTTTCTGTTGTCTGCTAGACATCCTTCACCTTACTTTGCTTGTAGATGATCCTCACATGGCATCTGTCTCCCATGTGTGTGTGTGCACATGTGCATGTGTGTGCATATGTGTGTGTGTGCACATGATTTCAGGCTTGAGGCCAGATACAAGTACTGCATTAAAAGCCCCTATAGTTCCTTCATCTAAAGGATCTAACCCAGAATGCACTGAAAACTTCTGAAATAATTGGGCTTGGTAATCATATACACTTTCTTTTTATTTTGTATGTAAAAATGGATTTTTGTCCAATCTGTTATTGGAAAAAGGTCTTAGGGATTGCTCTAAGTAATTTTGGCCCCTGTCTTGAGCTTCTATGAGGAAGGTTTCTGCTCTCTGGTCTGTATCCAAGGCTAAACTATCTTGGGGATCTTTCCATTTAGCATATTCTAACCATAATGTGGCTTTCCAAGGCCCAACTAACACATAAAGGAAAAAAAAAAAACTCATTGACGTTGAGTCAATTCCAACTCATAGCAACCCCTCCTTGGGTTTCCAAGGCAGTATCTCTATGGAAGTAGATTGCCCAATCTTCCTTCTGAGGAGTGGCTTGTGGTTCAAACCCACCAGCCTACTGGTCAGCAGTCAAATGCTTTAGGCACTATGCCACCAGAGCTTCCATGGACTAATTGATATAAATCAGACAACCTGGCTGATAAGCTCCATTAAGGACTTTAAATTCTTTTTGTAAGGATCCTCACAAAATTTTGGAAAATCTTTAACAATGCTATGTGATTCTGTGTAAATTCAGGGAATAAAAGAAATAATAAGATTCTTTGGATTGTCTCTAATACACACTCCAGATTCTGTGTGGTGAATCTTTTTTTTTTTCAAACTTCTTATTGTGATTTGGGTAAAAGTTTACAGATCAAATTTGTTTTCCATTCAGCAGTTCATACACTTTTTGTTTCATGATACTGATTGCAATCCCCACATGTAACCACTTTCTTTCCACTCCCTCCCTCTGGTTACCTTTTCCCTATGTCCTTCTTTCCTATGCATTCCTGCCTTCTGAGGTATCTTCCTGTACAAACACTGCCCTTCTGATCTCCCATGACTGATTGTTCTAAGGAGTGTACCTACCTAGTGTAATTACTCACTTCATAGGTCTGTCTATCATTTGGCTGGAAGCCACATGAGTGATTTCAGTTCCAGGTCTGAAGGATGACTAGAGGCCATAGTCTCAGGGGTTTCACCAGTCTCTATCAGACCACTACTGCTGGTCATTTTATGATTTGGAGTTACGATTATGAGTTTTGAGTTTACTTGATGTGGAAATTTCATTCCCACAATCTGGATGGATCTCTACATGGGCAGCTATATGAAATCCTGCCTCAACTATAGCATATAAGAATTCTAAGATATTACTGATTTTTAAAAGCAGTGTCATTTTAATAACAGCATATCAGGAGAGAAAGACACTATCCCTTTTAGCTGTACACATTGTTATCATGATTCACTTTGATTTTAGAAATCTCAAATTGTGGGGAAAATTCTTAGAATAGGTTACATATTTACGCAGCTATTTTATCTCTTCTTGCTCATACCTTATCATTCTCATAAAATGTACATACACTTGAATTCATACATGACAAGATCTGAATTATTTGTACCTCAGTGTCCTTTGAGATCCATAGTGCTTAAAAAGAATATATATATTTCAGTAAACACAATTTTAGTTGCACCACAGGAAAGTCATCCAGGTCATAGCCTGGGTCTCCTGCAGCCCTGTGGTCTCTCATAGCCCAGAGTTAGACCTAAGAGGTTTGTTGAGCAAAGATATGCCGAATTCCTAGGATCCCAAGTAACACAAGGAAAAGAAGGGTTTTCCCCAGAAGAATCCACGTCACTGGGCAGTAAGTGCCTTCAGCTGCCTTTGAACCTGAAAAAGAGAAAAAGGAGAGAATGGAACATGTGTGTGTATGTGGAAGGAAGATTGTTGGCAGGTGTCTAGGGTTGGCATATACTCTACTCAGGTCCTTTTAAAGCTTCTCAAAGTATTTCCTAGCGATCCTGGAGAGGTCAGAAGGGGCCAGTTACCTGCACAAAGCTTCTCAGAAAGGAAGTAGCCGCAGTTATTATTGCTAACAGCATTCATAACTGTGCAGGTGTAGGTCTGATCCAGATTGCTGAGGATGGCTTCTCCCTGGGACACAACAGCTCCTGGTCCCATTCGTATCCACCTGTATGTGACATCTGCACCTCCTTCCTCCACAAAATGCCTCAGGGTGATATTATGGGTCCCATTCTCACAGATGATGGAATCCATGGCAACTCGATGTCTTGGCAGCTGCTCTGTTTAAATCAATAGTTTTTAAAGTTGCAAAGCAAGGACGGGCATTTCTAGGCCACCCAGGAGAGGGCTGAAGAGATGGAGGGGAGAAACACAGCAAGAGAACAGACCCCTTCAGAGAAAAGATCCTAACTCTTCCACTTCTGGCCCCAAAAGGAATGAATGGGGAAGAGGCAACTTATGTTGATATTTTTCCATGAGTCATAACCATAGCCATCAGACAGGAGTTGGTGATGACTGAAGAAACACAACAACAAAAAAATAATAATGATAAAAGGCAAAGATCTATCTAGGACAGGTTCTCAACTGGCCAAAAGAGTGAAACTGAGAAGCTGCCTTTACCAAAATTCATCCAGCTCCTCAGGCTTAGTGAGTGGCCCTATTCACCCTTACCAGTAGGGACCTGGCTTTCTATGCCCTTACTCACCGAAGACCCTCAGAGTATAAAAATATCCTCTTATAGAAGTCTTTGAGATTATCCGGGCATTGTAAGATCCTGCGTCTTCCATCATCAGGTTGCTGAGCTGCAAGGAGTAGGAGGGGGTAAAGTTCAGTCGCTCTTTTCGTTTTGAGTCAATCACAATTATTGGTAGACTTCCTGTTTCACTTCGATGTATGAAGGCAACAGATTTTCCATTGTGAAGCCAAGTGATGTACTCAATCTCCTCTCCCACAGGAAACTTCAGGGGAAAAGTTACCAGCTCTCCCAGAAGCCCATTCACTGTCAATGTGTTTGAGCTGCTTTGTGATGCTGTGTTCTCTGTAAACAGAATAGAAATATAAAAAGCTGTCCATGACATCACCCTTTCCCCCTAACTCTTCCTTTGGCCAGAGCTCCCCCATATTGGGGCCCAGAAAAATGTTGGACACAAACAGATGTTAGCAGTGGTGGTGTGGCTGGACCTTAAAGTCAACATATTTGCATTCTCTTTCCAGCAAGAATCTCCTGGGAGGGAGATGTCACTGTTCTCCACCCAGGGTCTGGGTTCCCACTGAGAGCCCTTGGCCCTACAGGATTAGAATGGAAACCACAAGTGAAGTAAGGGCCCAGCACTTCCTTAGGTGGTCCTGCCTTTTCTTTAGACCTACATTTCAAACTCTCATGACTTACTATTTTCTGGAATGCTTCCCCACTCCAGAGCTGGGTTTCCAATACCATTGCTGTTTGAAGTCTCAGTGGTGTGTAGTATAAGGATCCCTAGATGACAGACAGGAGACCTGTCTCTTCATCTTGACCCTGACTCTATTTATACGTGGTCTTGGTTTGCTGATTTCTCTAGTTCTCTTTTCTTCATCTACAAAACCAGGGAGATAAATGCAAAGCCTTTCAGAATCCTTCCAACACTGATATTTCACAGTGTTATGATTCTATGTACTCTATACTTTGCTCTTTTCTTCCTCCTGCTTCCCTTCCTTCACTCTCTAGCCAGACCTTCTCTCCCATGTCCTGTATATTCTCTCACCTCTTCTATCTGCCTGGTCTCCAATCTCCTTGAGACAGGGTCATCACTTCTGGGAAAGGCCTTGCTTGGCAATGCCCATGTGAACTCCTTTCCTTCAGAAGGTCAAGATATAGGGAAGGACTCTATGAATCACTCACCTGCCCAGGACAGGAGAAGCAGGAGGAAGAGAAGCTGAATAGGAAGCTCCATGTTGCCAGGGCTGACTTGGTTTTCCCTGAAAATCCCAAGGAAAATAAAGAGAACAAAGAGCAAGTCCTGTTCTGAAGCATGGACAATGAGATGAACCTCTGGAGCTGCCCTTGCTGATCACTGTTGATAATCCCTTTCCTTGTTATTTTCTTTTGAAGTCCCTGATGCTTGCCTCAGCTTCTGACCTTAGAGTCATGAAGAGTTCAGAAACATTAGGGGAACTCAATATGTTTAATGAACATTCTGATACAAGTGCTTAGCTATGTTTTCAAAGGCAAATCTTCATCTTCCCCATACCACAAAATTCACCCTGAGTGCTTTACACAGGTAAATGAAAAGGATAAAACCACCAAGTGCTGCAACCATCATTTGTTGTTGTTTTTGTTAGGTGCCGTTGAATTGGTTCCGACTCATAGTGACCCTATGTACAACAAAACGTAATGCTGCCTGGTCCTGCGCCATCCTCAGAATCATTGCTATGTTTGAGCCCATTGTTGGAGCCACTTTGTCAATCCATCTCAATGAGGGTCTTCTTCTTTTTCACTTACCTTCTACATTACCAAGCATGATGTCCTTTTCCAGAGACTGGTTCCTCTATATAATAGCAGAAATTAAGCTAAAGATTCTACTTGGTCTGCCCATAATGTACTTTTTTAAAAGTACAGTACAAGCCCTCAGCAACAATAATCCCCAGGACTGTTGTCACTCTTACTTCAACCTTATGGATTTGACCTCACACTTTCCAGTACCTACATCATTTCTGACTCACTTGACCATATGATTCATATTTGGTCAATGCCACTTTTGCACTGAGAATAGGTTTTGTTCTTTAAGGCTGGATTCAGGAAATATCAATCAAACTAATTTGTGGTAAAGGAGAAATTTGTTGTAAGAATAAAGACTGAAAGGCAAGAATATAGACAAAACTCAACAATGGATCTAAAAAGTGAAAATCAAGGAGAGCCCAATTAAGACTCTGTCTCTTGACTCTGTTCTCCATGTGTCTGATTTATTCCTCTCTTCCTGAATCTTCTCTCTCTTCTCTTTACCAGTAGACTATGCTCAATGGTATAGCTCCAAATTTGACCTGTTACAGAGATAGTCACAGATGGAGACTAATTTCCATTCTCTTTAACTTGCTTTCTGTCTTCATTTCCACTTTTTCTTCCAATTCCAAATTCTTGCCAAGGTAGTCAGGTTAACTTATTTTGGTCAGAGCATAAGATCATGCTGTACACACTTGTTCATTCCTACATCATTTCCCCAAATTTGGGAAATTAATGTATTATTGTAAACTAGACAGCCATTTCCAAAGGTTAAAAATACAACAGAATCAATTTAACATGGGAATTTTTTTTAAATAGAAAATTTCAAATGCACACTAAAGTTTAGATAATAGTACATGAACCCCTCAAATCTTATTACCCAGATGCAATACACAAAAATTGCTTTCTTTCACATACAAAGAGGTGTCACAATCAATTAAAAAGTGGATGGAGAACATTAGCAGGCAGTACAAAGAACAAGAAATATAGAATGAAAGAGTTTTAAAATGCCCATTCTCACTCATAATTAAAGAAATGCAAGTTAAAGTAATACTGAGATTTCATTTTTCACCTATTAGAATTCTTAATAATAAAAGCTATAAAAACACAAAGTGGTAATGAGAGTGCTGGGAAACAGGAATTCTTCAAAAACTCTACACAGAAACTTTGAGTGGGAATGTAGTCAAATATAAAATTCATTAATATAATGTTTAACACAGAAATGTCAATTCTAGAAATTAACCCTAAACAAGTGTGCATAGTCAAAACACTGTAAGTCTCCATCAAGAGGGACATCCATCCTGCCAATAGAATTGGGTAAAACATAGGTCACAAATTATTGCTAAAAAAAAAAAAAAAAAGTAAAGGGGGGGAAAAAGAAGTAAAAGGAAAGAGGAAAAATGAATGTTTATCTGGCACCTGCTCATGACCACATCTCAGTCTACTTCCTGTCCATATCTTGAAAGGCAGACAAAATTTGAGGCACCTACAGATTTAAGACACAGGTCAAATAGCCCAGAAGCTCTGACCCATCACAGATCCACATAAAACTGTATTTTTACAAGGAGCAGTACAGGCCGTTCAACTGTAGTTGTTAACATTTTCTGAGAGTTTCCTATATGCCAGGAACTGGCCTAGAAAACTGATATATGTCTTCAACACAGCTCAAGGCTTAATGAAGAAGAGTAACAATTAAAGGCAGTTGTGATGCTGTGAGGTAATTGAAGTGATGGGACTATCTGGAGACTGTTTGGAGATCCAGAGCAAAGAACGATTCATTCAGCAAGAAATTGGGACTCTGACATTGGAGCTGGGGCTTGGAGGATGGATGGAACCTTCATTCATTCATTCAACTAGCATTCGCTGAGGGGCCTGTTATGTTCCAGGCATAGTCCTAAGCACTGGTGAAAGTGATAAACACTACAGGCAATGTTCCTGCCCTCGAGCATTTACATTCTAGTAGGAGGAGAAAATATGATTAAATCAAAACAGTCATATGATGGGAAGGGACAGAGAAGCTACTGTAGGTTGGGTGTCTGGAGAGGCTTCTCTGAGTAGGTCACATAAAGCAATCCATGTTCCAAAGTATAACTCTATGTGAACAAAGTCAAAATGGCAGTCTATAACACAAGCATTAACCTGCTGAGCAAATAATCCGAGAAGCTGGACTATATGAAGAAAAACGTGGTGTCAGGATTGGAGGAAGAATCATTAACAACCTGAGATATGCAGATGATACAACTTTGCTTGCTGAAAGTGAGGATGACTTAAGGCACCTACTGATGAAGGTTGAAGAATACAGTCTGCAGTATGGATTACATCTCAACATAAAGAAAACAAAAATCCTCACAACTGGACCAATGAGCAGCATCACAATAAATGGAGAGAAGATTGAGGTTGTCAAGGAATTCACGTTGCTTGGTTCTACAATCGATGCCAATGGAAGTAGCAGTCAGGACATTAGACCACGTGTAGCATTGGGGAAGTCAACTGCGAAGGAACTGTTTCAAGTGCTGAGGAGCAAGGATATCTCCTTGAGGACTAAGGTGCGCCTGACACAAGCCATGATATTTCCAATCGCCTCGTATGCATGTGAGAGCTGGACAATGAATAGGGAAGACCGAAGAAGAGTTGATGCTTTTGAGTTGTGGTGCTGGCGAAGAATGCTGAAAGTACCGTGGACTGCTAAAAGAACTAACAGATCTGTCCTGGAGGAAGTGCAGCCAGTATGCTCCTTGGAAGCAAGAATGGCCAGACTTTGTCTCACCTATTTTGGTCATGTTGTCAGAAGGGACCATTCCCTGGAGAAGGATGTCATGCTTGGTAGGGTGGAGGGTCGACAAAAGAGGGGGAGGCCTTCAGGGAGATGGATTGATACAGTGGCTGCGATGATGGGCTCGAGTATAGCAGGGATTGTGGGGCTGGTGCGGGATCGGGCAGTGTTTCGTTCTGCTGTGCATGGGGTCACTATGAGTCGGAAACAACTCGACGGCACTTAACAACAACAACAACAACCTGCTTGTATACATCTGTATGATAAGAGCCACCATGCAGGTGCTTTTTATGAGTCAAATATTATGGTAAGCATATACATGCACTATCACATTTATTCTTTGCAAATAGCTTTGTAGTAGGTGACATTATCCCTATTTTATGGGGAAGAAACTCAAAGCTCTAGTTGAGTAACGTTCTCAAGACCAAACTGCTAATATGTTTTTATGTCCCTTGCCTTACCAGTATGCTCAAAAAAAAAAAAAAAAAAAAAAATTCTACTGCTTCAAGTCAATTCTTGTCTTTGGTTTTGATGAGTTTGATGATATGTCTTGGTGAATTTCTTTTGGCGTCTATCCTGTTTGAGGTTCATTGGACTTTCTGAATGGATATATTCTTATCTTTCATCACATCAGGGAAGTTCTCCTCCAATAAATCTTGGACAATTTTCTCAGTGGTTTCATTTTTCTCTTCCTGTTCTGGAATTCCAATGACACCTAGGTTATTCCTTTTGATGGTATCTCACATGAACCTTAGGCTTTCTTAATTTTGTTTTGATCTTTTTTCTGATTGATCCCTTTCCCAAGAATTATTCAGGTATTTTGTCTTCAATCTCATTAATTCTATCTTCCATTGCATCAATTCTACTCCTTTCCCCTTTCAATGTGTTATCTAATTCTGACAATTTAGTATTCATCTTCTGAATTTCTATCTATATATTTAGAATCATTTGTAATTTTTCATTTATTTTGTTATTTTGTTCTTGTATTTTCTTCCAAAATTCTTCAAGGGTTTTGTCTATGTTTTCCTTGGTCTGTCTTTCAATCCTTTGAAGATACCTAAATATAATTCTTTTGAATTCCTTATCAGAGAATTCCAATGCTGCTTCTTCCTCAGGGATGTGTTTTGGATCTGTATCCTGCTCTCTAGTTTCTACCACTTTATCTTGCTTCTTTGTGTAAACTGTGATAGTCTGTTGTCTCAGAGACATCATGGTGTTGTTGTATTTAGATTTCTGTTAACTGTTTGTGAAGACCAGCCAAGGGTGAGTCAGGCTTTTCTTGATGGCTGATTATTGTTGGCCCATTAGTGGAGAAGGAAGTGGTGGCTCTCACTCAGAAAGTGAAGCTGCAGGAGGTGTGGGTGTAGTTGTGTCAGATGGTGACTGTTGCTGTCTTCCACTCAGACAAAAATAGCAATTGAATAATCATCAAAAAAGTAAAAGCAAATGGACAAAAAATACACCGTGTAGTCACACAGGAACAGTAACCAAAAAGAAAAAAAGGAAAAAGAAGAAGAAAAAAACCCAAAAACCCTGCAATATCTGGGGAGAGTGCAGTAAGAGAAAAAGGTAAAGGAGGAGAATAATGAAGAAAAAAAATGGGAAAAACATAAAAAGAAAAACAAGGAATGGGGTTAACCATGAGAAAGAAAAAAAAAATTGCAACCAGGAACAGGGAAAAG